TGAGAGATGAGGGGTGGGAGAGGAGGTGGGAGATGAGGGGTGGGAGAGGAGGTGGGAGATGAGGGGTGGGAGAGGAGGTGAGATGAGGGGTGGGAAAGGAGGTGGGAGATGAGGGGTGGGAGAGGAGGTGGGAGATGAGTAGGGGAGGGGGAGAGGAGGTGAAGAGATGTGGAGGGGAGGGGGAGACTAGATAAGGAGCAAGGCAAATACCAGGGCTAGGAGTGGAGGAGAGATGAAGATGGGGAACCCTTGAGAGAGAGATTGGGTGGAGAGAGGAAGTGGGGAGACATGGGGGTGAGGAGAGGAGGTGAGGAGGGATGAGGATGGCCCAGGATAAGAGGAAGTGGAGAGATTGGGATGGGGGAGGCCGTAGGTAGGAATGGGAATGGGGCATAAGAGAGGTTAGAATCAGAAGAAGAGGGTAGGGGTGTGGAGAGGGGAGGGGAGGGGAGGGGAGTGGCTGGACATCCCAAAACCCGGACTGACTTGTCACACTTCCCCACTTCCAGAAAAGGCTGGGCCCCCTATAAACGTGATGGTGAAGGAGGTGTGGGGCACGAACGCGCTGGTGGAGTGGCAGGCCCCCAAAGATGATGGGAACAGTGAGATCACGGGGTATTTCGTCCAGAAAGCAGACAAAAAGACCATGGTGAGAGAGCAGAGGGGGCGATGGGGAAGAGCCGGTGAGGTGGGCAGAGCAGGTGCAGATGTCCCCCTTTCACAGCTGGAAGGGCAGGGAGGGGCCCAGAGGCTGGAGGACGGGCTGGGGCCGGGAGGGAAGCCTTTTAGCTGAGACTCGCACGTGATGGGTTTTCATTTTCTTTTTTCACTGAGGTAAACATCACATAACGGAATTAGCCATTCGCTGTTTTAAAGCGAACAATTCAGCAGCCCTTAAGACATTTGCAGGGTTGTGCAGCCACCGCCTCTACCCAGCCCATTTTCATCCCCCAGAGGAAGCCCTGTATCCAATAGCGCCACCCCCTGGTCTCCCCTGGCCCCAGCCCCTGGCAGCCACCCATTTGCTTTCTGTCTCCCCGGATTTACCTACTCCGGACATTTCATACACATGGAATCCTAGCTATGTGACCTTGTGTCTGACTTTGTTAACTCAGCACAACATCTTCAAAGTTCATCCATGCTGCAGGGTGCAGGGTGTGTCCATGCGGCAATCCTGTTTTTAGAATTATTTTTTTTTGAAACAGGGTCTTACTCTGTCACCCAGGCTGGAGTGCAGTGGTGCAATCTTGGCTCACTGCCTTCTCTGCCTCCGAGCTCAGGTGATCCCCCCCATCTTAGCCTCCCAAGTAGCTGGCACGTGCCACCACGCCCTGCTAATTTTTGTAGAAACGGGGTCTCACTACATTGTCCAGGCTGGTCTTGAACTCCTGGACCCAAGTCATCCTCCCACCTTGGCCTCCCAAAGTGTTGGGATTACAGGCGTGAACGACTGCACCTGGTCTTAATTTCTTTTAAATTTTTTAAAATTTTTATTTTTGAGACAGGGTCTTGCTCTGTCACCCAGGCTGGAATGCAATGGCATCTTCATGGCTCATTGCAGCCTCAAACTCCCAGGTTCAAGCAATCCTCCTTCCTCAGCCTCTCGAGTAGCTGGGACTACAGGTGCTGGCCACTAGACCTGGCTAATTTTTTGATTTTTTTGAAGAGACAGGGTCTCGCCGTGTTGCCCACGGTGGTCTCGAACTCCTGGGCTCAGGTGAGCCTCCCACCTTGGCCTCCCAAAGAGCTGGGATTACAGGCGTGAGCCATGGTGCCTGACTCCTCCTTAGAGTTGAATGATGTTCCCTGGTCTGGGCTGGCCACTTCGTTTGCCCATCCCTGCACTGATGGGCGCTGGGTTGGCTCCACCTGTTGGCCACTGTGAGTAGTGTGCCACGAGTGACAAGATTTTTAAACACTGGATGTGCTTTTCTCACCCTTTCTTGCGTCTGTGTCTGTGTGTAATCCCGTGATCCTGTGGCCCCGACCCCCCGGTCCCTCCCTGTCCCTACACTAGGAGTGGTTCAACGTGTATGAACGTAACCGGCACACTAGCTGTACTGTGTCCGACCTCATCGTGGGCAATGAATACTATTTCCGAGTTTACACTGAGAACATCTGTGGGCTCAGTGACTCACCTGGTGTCTCCAAGAATACGGCCCGCATCCTCAAGACAGGTACAGCCATCCTGCTCCACGGCCCAGGCCCACCCCCTCCACCCTCTCGCCCAGGTCCCACCTGGACTCCCCCCGCCCTCCCCTCCCCTCCCCACTGGGGTTGACTGCACCTAGTTATGGGGGAGAAGTGATTGTGGTTTGTTCCGCGGCTGGTGTCAGGGGATGATCTAGATCAGTCGCCTCACGGGTGCATCCTCTCTCCGCAGGAATCACCTTAAAACCGTTCGAGTATAAGGAGCATGACTTCCGGATGGCTCCCAAGTTCCTGACGCCTCTCATAGACCGGGTGGTCGTGGCTGGGTACTCGGCGGCTCTCAATTGCGCTGTCAGAGGCCACCCAAAGGTGCCTGGGCAGGGACCCAGAGCTGTGTGTGTGTTGCCTTGTGGGGAATCTTCCATACAACGAAGCCCCCGCTCCCCATCACGCCAGTTCTTCCTCCCTGAGTTCTCTGTCTCAAGGGATTTAGTCACTTAAAACAATTTTTTTAATTGATTTTGTTTGTTTGTTTTTTTGAGACAGGGTCTTGCTGTATCACCCAGGCTGGAGTGCAGTGATGCGATCACAGCTCGCTGCAACCTTGACCTCCTGGGCTCAAGTGATTCTCCCACCTCATCCTCCTGAGTAGCTGGGACCACAAGCATGAACCACTATGCCCAGCTACTTTTATGGTTTGTAGAGATGGGGTCTTGCTATGTTGTCCAGGCTGGTCTTGAACTCCTAGGCTCAAGTGATTCTCCTGCCTCGGCCTCCCAAAGTGCTGGGATTACAGGTGTGAGCCACCATGCCCAGACTGGACTTGCTCGCTTTTCACCCACTTCCTGTAGCTCCTCTGACCACAGCCCAAGTCTCAGACGATCAATCACACCTTGCCTTTGGCTTCCTGCCTTTTTCCTTCTATTTTTTTTTTTTTTTTTCTGAGACCAGGCTCGAGTGCAGTGGTGCGATCTTGGCTCACTGCAGCCGCCTCCCAGATTCAAGCAATTCTCCCGTCTCAGCCTCCTGAGTAGCTAGGATTACAGGTGTGCACCACCATGCCCAGCTAAATTTTGTATTTTTACTAGAGACAGGGTTTTGTTGACCTCAGGTAATCCACCTGCCTCGGCCTCCCAAAGTGCTGGGATTACAGGTGTGAGCCACTGCGCCCAGCCTCTTGCCTTTTTCTTTGTCCCCGTCAGGTAATAGCTTGTCTTGGCAGCTTGAGGAGAGGAGCATTAAGTCTCTCTTGCTCTGTCCAAGGACAAATGCCAGTCCCGTGGAAAAAGAAACCTTGGGAGCAGGGGCAGCCTGAACCGCCATGGCTCCCCAGGGTCTTCCTGTCCAGCCGTTTCCCAACTGCTGTTTGGGAGTGTGGACACTTGCAACCTAGAAC